TGAGTGCTGGGAAGAGGAGCCACGGCAGGCGAGGAGCTGCTTCCCCTCCCCCACCCCCACACTCAGCACCAGCTTGTAACCCACCCCCACTGCCAGCCTGGGCCCCATGCCAGTTCCAGGCTCTCCCATTAGGGCTGTGCATGGTGGCAGCAGCTGCGGCCCCCCCGCTTGCTGTACTGGGCAGCATTTGCCATTGCCACCTCTTGACTGCCCAGCGTGCAAGCTCTGGGGTGGGCAGCAGCAGCCAACACTGCCCGTGGCGCTCAGCACCAGCTCCTTCCCTGCCGGCGATTAGGTGGTCAGGGCTGTGCACTGCCCCCTGCCTGTACCATGGGGATGGGGGCACTGGGAGTGAGCAGGCATGGAGCCAGCGGGAGCACGGGACACGCACCGGTGTGTCCCAGGGCTAACGCCACCAGGGTCCAGAGCAGAGCAGCAGGGGTACAGGCTCCCGGGCAGCAGGGGCTCTATGGAGCCGGCCCAGCTCCCCCCTCTCCCTGCTGGTGCAGCCCAGCCTGGCTCCACAGACCCCTGCCAGCCTGTGCCCTGCTCTGGGCCCCACCAGTGCTGGCCCTGGGACACTGGTCCCATTATGGTGACCAGGGGGTAGGGTACCTGTGAAGGGGCGGGGCTACCCATGCGGCCCTCAACAGCTTGCCAAAACTGGATAAGTGGCCCTCTGCCCAAAATAATTGCCCGCCCGTGGTCTACTCCCATCTCAGAGCTGTGGGAGATCAGCAGAGGGTTTGTGGTTTGCTGCACTGCTTCATTTTCTGGACTCATGGCAAAGTTATGAGTCTAAAAACACTATCATTCTGTTTTGTTCTTCTTTAACATCTGATCTCAAAGTCAGAAACATTACCTCACACTTGGAGCTGTTGCATGTGTGACAACAAACCTGCAAAGAGTATCTAAGCAATATACCATAGAGTTTCAGTCTTGGAAAATTGAGTGGAAATCAGACTTGGATAAAGCTGTCATACATCCCTGCCAATATGTATTGGTTCCAACTATGAAGGAGAGTTGAAGAGACCTTTACTTTTCAGTGATTAGAGAACAGCTAATAGTGCTGTATAATTCATAAAAATATGTAATACATTAAATTATTAGACTTCCTTTAAACTTTCTTCTTTTGACTAAAAAATATTAATTCCTACAAATTCAAAATTCAGGTATTTTTATATGAATATCTTTACAATATTCTAATCTTTTTGGGATTTCTCTGATGCACAAGGCATGTTTATGAAAGCACAGTAGCATGAACAGTAGGCATGTTGGAATGGCAACTGGGTAAGAAGGGAAAAAAAAAGAATCAAACTACAGCACATTCCTGAAAGTCGCATTACATACTATAATTGGAAAATAACAAACTATTTCATAGCAGAATAGGTATTTAGAAAATAGAAAATGAAAATTAGAAAGTACTGTCCCCACCCTCTTTTCTGACCATTTTATATTACATATATTGAGTTCAAGTCTCTTCTTGCTTAAATCTCCTTCTCTTTAATAATGATGACCTTACTTCACTTGCATGGAGTTATTAATTTTTTTTGGGGGGTAGGGAAGGTGGGGATGAGGGAGGGGTTCAATAAGTTGAATAAACTGATAAGTACATATAGCACAAGCTTTCATTACACCATGGAAAGGATTTCCAAACCTATTTTCTCATGCTGAGGAAAAGGGAGATGAGTACGTTGGAACTTTTCGGTTGCTTCCTGATGTTTCAGTTTCCTTTGCTGCAGTACTCGTTCTCTAAATCTTTTTTCCTTTTCTTCTTTTTGTTTCCATTTTTCTTCAAGTGCTCTATATTTAAAAAGGAAGAGCAAATGATACCTTGTGATTTGAATAAAAATAAGTATCACCCAGGCATTATTATGCTGAAAGAAGTGTTTTTATTATTTGTCTAATTTAACACAGATATATTTTAGTTAAAAAGCTTATACCTCTTTACCCCTCTCTCATCCTCCCTGCCTCCCCTCCCCGGGTTAGTGACATAAATAGCATTGTAACTGGCACATTAGGATTCACTTCAAAATTTTTTTGAAATTGGGCAATCTGCAAGTAACAAACAAGGGCATACTATATTTTTAATGTCATATTTTTCATCAGACATAATATAGAGAAAACAAGGATATAGGGACTTCCAAGCAGATCAGACTTGTATCCTGTCTCCAAAATAGGCTTGCACCAGATGCTTCATGCTGTGGTGTAAAGCCCACATAAGTGGCAATGCAGTAGGAACGGAAGTGAACCTGCTATGGAGAATTGCCATTTATTAGTTGTAAAAATAAAAATTGTGTTAAAAAAAGCTATTATTCAGAAATTTCAAAATTCAGGAACTGGTTTCTGGTTGAATCAACAAGTAATTATTCCACAACTTCCTGGAGAAAGAAGGGACGCTCAGAATAACTTACTATACAGCTGTAAGTAACTGCTTTATAGCTGTACAATAGAGACATTGAGCAATAAGGAGACCACTTGAAGCTGCCTGATATGAAAGGTAGAATTAGTTGGTATCAGTGGGGTGAAGGTCTGCATTCCTGTTTTAAGTTTTATCAGCAAAACTTTCCTTCTCCTGGCACAGCCTTGCATCCATTTACACTCTGTCTTCTTGCCTCTTGTTGACAGAACAGTTAGCTCTTGCTGACAAAGTTAAATGAGGCCCCCAAAGACAGAAGCACTTCAGCACAATTCTGTCAGCCCAATGCCTGTGCAGATACAGAAATACTTGTACTAGTATAAGCAGTTTTGTAGCAACAAACCCTCAGTACAACTCCCGCTAAGTAGGGACACCTCTGGTTGAATTTTTTAACATTACTGCACAAGACAAGAGTCACTGGAAGCCTATCTTCTATATGACATCCTCAGCAAGTCTTGAAAAAATTATCTTTAAAAGTTACTGCCATAAATGCACCTGTAAAAGTATAGCTCCAGGTCTAGGAGCTGGGAGAATGGGTAGGAGTGAACTCCTAAATGTCTCTGGGCTGTAGATAGGGAAACATGCAGACAGTTGCATTTGCTGGCACTGCAAAGCCCACGGAGATCATGGGATGTAGCAGGGACAATGATTAATGTTGGCCAAATGAGAAAAATGCAACAAGCTTACCAGAACAAAAAGGACCAGTACACATCACCAGTGGTACTCCTTCCCAACACCTACACCTATTATAACAGCTCAGTGCCCTGCCTTACTGCCTTGATATCAATGTTCACCTCTCAAAAATTAAATGAAGGACACCCTGGAATTGATGGCTAAGAAAGACATGGATGCTAGTGCTGAGCCAACTGAAAACCAAATGTAGTTTAATAGAACTGCTCCATTAATGAGGACCCTTTTGTTTACTCTCTTCTCTCTATGGGATAACTTTCCAGAAGCATCCAAGCTAGCCTTTAAGCTCCCATCTCAAAATGGCTACAGATCAGCTGTAGAGACAAAGACATTTTGCTTTAAAATACTTGTAAAATAGCTACTTTATGTTAAGGGGTTGAAATGTCTAATATGTAATAGTCAAAATTGAAAGACAGCCAATGCAAATCCCAAATACACATTATTACAGAAAATATTGATTTTAACTACTGGAGATACAACATATAATGAAAATAGGAGACCACTACTACTGATATGAAAGTGCATGTGTGCATGATTTCCAGAACTTAGAGAAAAAGTCATGCCTGAACTTTTTCAAAACATAATTTTAAAGAAATTGCTTGTGTTTAACCAATGCAAAGTGACCAACAGAAAAAATACATAGAAAATATATTGTAAATAGATTTCATGTAGATAGATTTAATTCAAGTCTCAGGATACAACAACCACACACTACTTGCATTGCGGAGGTCACATTCAGAAAAGTCAGAAACAGCATGTGGTAAATTAAGGATTTGGACTGTCTTAACACAGTCACAGGGATCCTGCACTGGTTGAAGAGAAGTCAGATGATTTTTGCATGAACAGCTTTTCTGTCTTCTACACAATTTCACTGGACTTTTCCAACAAACAGCATTTTATCTTTGAGTACTTTAGGCAAAACTGCCTTGTTTCTTCTGCTGCGAGAAGATGAAAGGGGTGACATGCTATTTACTCTTGCTCATCTAAGTGGCAGTTTTCTAGCCATCTACCTGGATGTTTTTGGCCCCACTTTATGCTTTGGATGCTTAATCCTGCATGTGTAGACTGGCTGTAAACTGAATGTGTACGGATGTACATACACAGCCCAGGTACACATGGGCCTGAGCGCAAGTCATGGAAAAAAATGATCAGGGGAGGAGGAGAAAAGTAACATTTCTATGTTTGGGCCCCAGTGTTTTAGCCTATGTATCCCTGAGCTACATAGATAACATTTTCATCATCTGGACTTAGCACCCAGACTCACTTATTGCTTTACACCGCAGACTTAACAACTACTGCTCTTCAATCAAATTCTCTGGAATACTACTGCACTACCATCAACTTTCTAGATGCCACAATCTACATCCAGGAGGGCATCCTACATAGAAAACCCATAGACTACCACACTTACAACCACCAGCAATCAGTCTAAACACAGCAAAAAAGGGGTGATATACAGTCAGGCCCTCAGACACCACCACATCCGCTCTCAGGAGAATACCCACGACATTCATCTTGCCAAAATGAAAAGTCTTTACCCAGAGCATGAACACTCTAGAATAGAAAGACTGTATCTTTGAAAAAGCCACACAGATATCCCACAGCAACCTACAAGATAAAAACTGACTGTACACCGTGGACTGTCACTTACTATCCCACACTTGAGTCTATAAGAAGAATCAAACTACAACCTATACCTGTCAAGGACCAGGCCTTTAAAAAATATCCCCCAACCTCCTCTCTTGGCTTTCAAACAGCCCTCTAACCTTGCCCAACTTATTATCAGAAGTAAACTCCCTGATCAACAGGCATCTAATGGGACCTGGCCCTTCCTTAAAAATAAAAGCAAGGCCTGTCAACATACCTCTACTGTCACAATGATCAGTACTCCCCACAACAAAACTGTCAGACTCCATGGATCACGCGCACGTTTATGCCAGAATGTGGTATACCTCACCCAGTTCAGCAAATGCCCTCATGGCAACCATGTGGGTAAAAAAACAGACAAATACTATGCAACAGAAAGAACGATCACCAAAAATAGGGTTCAGGATAGAGACACTAAAACACAGGTAGGAGAACATTTTTCACAAAATCACTCACTGCCTGACCTGACTGCTTTTGTGCTAAAGCATTGCTTTCCAAACTTTTCTTCAGCGTGACCCCATTTATGACCTCATTTCCACAGCATGGCCCATTGCTCCCAAACCACAGCCCCTCCAGTCCCCCAGGGCCAGGGCCCACAGTGCCTTGCCACTGCCCCAGCAGTGCCTGAGCCCCAGCTACCACCTGTGGGAGGCGACGGCTGGTGCAGCCTGAGAGGAGTGCAGAGCCCAGCTTCCACCCCCGCCCCCTCCCCACGGGCAGCACCAATAGAATAGAGCCTGTGTGTGGGGAAAGATGCGGGCTGCCCGCTGCAGGCTTGGGGCTCCCTGCCCTGATGCCCTCCCCCTGGGGGCTCCACAGCCTGGTGGGCAGGATCCGGGAGGGAGTGCTGTGCTGGGCCACCATGGCTGCCAAGCTGAGGTACCCCCTGCTCACCCAGCGGTAGTGTGGGCACAACTCTGTGCTGCTGCCACTGCTGAGCCTCACCTTGGTGGCCATGAAGGTGCAGCACTCTCCCCCACAATGGGTTCCACCCACTGGGCCACAGAAGTGGCTCCTGCTTGGAGCTGGTCTGGCCCAGCTGCAGCCCTGCACCCTGCTGTGGCCACAGAAATCTTAGGGGGCATGTTTATTGTGACCTCATCTGCTGGTGTTATGACCCCATTTGGGGTTGCG